ACTAATGGATTATTTTTTTCAGTAATGTTAGTTGAGTGGCCCACTGAACAAATATGTAAAGTTTAAAATTGCACCATGCTTCTTAGAAACTCATCTATGTGTTGAAAAAGAAACACTCAACATACACCTGGCTGTTTGAAAGAGGGTAATCAGCAAAGTCTGTGTCTAATCAGTTACTTATTAGACTCAAATTTATAAGACTAGAACAGATACACTATATAGGGTAAATTCCTACTCTTTACACAAGGACACCTAGAAAGATAAAATGATACTTCGTTATTATGGTGAAGGGCACATTAGAAATACCACAGTGAATAAACTGTTGTGACAGTGCTGTGATGAGATCCAGTACAGCATGTATCACAGAGCTGAAACTGCCCAGTAATCACTATTGAATACTTTAGTTGGTTACAAACCATGATTTATACCTATTGTGAGAGAGGCTTATTTAGAATGTAAAAACAACCTCTGAGAGCTATCGGTAAGCAGCCCTCTGTATATAAGCAGCTATGTTAAGAACGTGATAGCTCATTTTTCTACTATCAGACTGAATAAAAATATGAAAGCTCTCAGGTCATTGTAAGTCAGTTGTAGCCAGATACTGTTCAGTTAGTGCTTATGTGCTGTAGGAAGTTTCACAAGAGGTGCACAGACAACTAAAGATTTTTTTAAACCAGGTGTGTGCACTTTTTTGCACTTTATAAATTATAAAGGTCAAAAGGCATTTTTTAAATTTATTTTTCCTCTGCCTGTTTTTACACTAAAAATTCAAGTCATGTCTAGCCTAAAGGACTATATGGCTTTGTTTACACTGGGAATTAAAGGTCTGAAAAATCCTAGCTGTGTAGCTCTATCACCAGTGGAATGGATGGAGGCTGCAGCATAGACAAGGCTCAGGCATTTTTACAGTAAGCCCATTTTTAATGTCTGAGCCTACCTAAACTTGGTCTACTCTACTGCTTTCTCTGCTGCTCCTGAGGGAAACCACAGGTATAAAAAAAATCCAGCTAGATACAAGGAGAGAGAGTCTTCCAGTCTAAACAGGTCCCGAATTTCTAATTTAAAAATATAGACAACTGTTAACCTTTTCAAGTCTTCTTTATACATCCTAACACCAAAAAAAGGATTACAAGACCAATGTTTCTCCTTTTGCAGGACACTTTTGAATAGCAGTAAGATATTGAAATTCAGGGCCAAAAAGATATTCTGGTCAACGTGCAGGAGTGAAAAAAGTAGATGGCTCTAGTGATGAAGCACCTAATTCCAGGAAGTGGACGATGCCATTAACTAACATTCAAGAAATCAAACCGTTTGCTCTCCCCTGTGCACACGTGTGATTTCTCCTAGGGAGCGAGGAAAGAAATCACACCTGTGTACAGAACGCAGTCCCAGCACTCAAGCTCTGCAGCATCCCCCTAGGCTACCCATCAGCCCTGACCCCAGAGCGCCTGAACCCTGGGCGCGTACACACTCCACCCACAGCACCCAGTGGGTATTGCTGCTTCAAGTTGTGCAAACCTTGTTTTATTACCAAACCCACCCGCCTGCACCGCACTCCCAACAAGACCTCTGGCCTTCCTCCTCCTGCCACCAGTTCCCCAATCTTTCCCCTCAGCAGCCTCCCCGGAGCGCCCAAACCTGCAGCCCAGCCGCACCCCTCGCAGGCTCCCGTGTGCTGCATTCCCAGCCCGGGGGAACCGCCCCAGGCGGCGCCGCTGCTGCCCCTTCCAGCCAGGATACGAGGGCCCGTCCGAGCCCGGCGGCAGGAAACCCCGCGGAGCTCCGCGCACCCGTCCGGACAGGCCCGTCAGCAGCCACCGGGAGGCTGCAACCACCCCGCGGCCCACGAACCTGGGTCTGTAGGCTCCGCAGCCGCCAGCGTTTCCTTGTCCCCCGCCTGCGAATACCTGCAGCGCGGTCCCTCCCTCGGGGGCAGGGCCTCAGTTAGGGCCGCCCCCCAGCCGGCGCTCTGCATGGGTGCGCTACTAGCTTTCTGTGTGGGGCCTCAGCCAGAGTAGGAGTGGGGCAGGGCGGGAGAGAGAAAGCACCGGGGGAGGGCAGGTCGTGATGCTTCCCACCCCCGCCCCCTAGCCCTGGGTGAGCCCACAGGCAGAAAGCAGCCAGGTGGCAGTGAGTGCATGTGCAGAGCTCAGCCTGGCACCCAACTGCCCTCTTGTGGTAAGGGCAGGGGTGGCTCTATGTATTTTGCCACCCCAAGCACGGCAGTCAGGCGGCTTTCGGCGGTGCATCTGCAGGAGGTCCGCTGTGGATTCGGCGGCGTGCTTGCAGGAGGTCCACTGGTCCTGCGCCTTTGGCATACCCGCTGCCGAATTGCCGTAGAAACCGCGGGACCGGTGGACCTCCTGCAGGCATGCCGCCACAGGCAGCCTGACTGCCGCCCTCACGACAACTGCCAGGCCGCCCCTGTGGCTTGCTGCCCCAGGCACGTGCTTGGTGCACTGGTGCCGCCCCTGGTAAGGGGACTGTTGCCCCCTTACTAACATTCAGTGGGGGTGTTTTGGTTGCCTAGCTCCCAGCACTAAAAGAATGGGGAGAGGCTAATGCTCCAGGTCAGCCTCAGCCTCTGAGCCTGATTGACAGGGCGGGCAGGCTAAACAGGGAATCAGGAAGCCAGTGGGGTCCTGTCCTCCCTGTGAGCTGGAATTGCCTGGGTCAGACAGAGTGGGGCCGAGCTAAGGAGAAAGCAGGAACCCAAGCTGAGCTGGGGAGCAGAGCCGTGCCAGATCCAGAGGGCCCGGAAAAGCAAAGGTGGGAGCAGAGTCACAGAAGCACCCAGGAAGAGAGCAGATCCTGTGCTGGGAGCAGAGCTGCAGCCAGAGAGCCAGATTGGTGAGCAACTGGGGCTGGTAAAAGGCCCAGCGCAGAAAGATACCCCCAGCCAAGGGTCCTTGCAGGCCAGAGTGGGAGGGGGATCTTAACCCGACGAGGGGGCTTATGCTGGGAAGGGTCTCACCACCCAAAGCCCGGAGGTATGTGGCCACCACCATTGCAAGTGTCCAACCCACAGCATCCCTGCAGCACAGCCAGGGCCTGAGAAGGAGACCTGGGACCTACAAGGAACAGACTGTAAAGTGCCCTAATGTCCAGAGACACTGTTTGTAATGTTCCCTGCCACAGAGCAGGGTGATGTGTTTTCCTTTAACTTTTCCCATTTTTTCTTATTCTTTTTTAAAATTGTTAATTAAACAACTTGTATTTGCTTTAAATTGTATGAAATGATCAGTGGGTCAGGGAGATGCCCAATTCAGAGAGAGTACCCCAGAGTGAGGACACCCTAGCCCCTGTCCTAGGTGATCACAGCAGGGTTGGGGATTGAGCCCCCAGGAATCCTGGGCCTAGCCTTGTCCGGGTTACGAGGACTCTGCCAGACAGGGGAGTGGAAGGGCAGGGAGGCCTCTGGGTAAAGGAAGTGGGAGTGGGGACTCAAATCCTTTCACTAGCCCCTTCACTGGGGTAGTGCAGAAGCCAGGAAAGTTCCCCACAATACCGGGACCATTCCCCTGCTTACATTAGCATTTATTACCTTCTGTGCCATAGAAGAGATGATGAGCTTTATACACAGAGAGGGGGTATATGCAATTGCTGATACTTCAGCTCATAGCCGAAAGCGGGTTAAAAGTTCCCCCTGCAGAGTGGATTCCCTGACTATTGTATATATGGCTTCTTATAAACTTCTAATGCATCTGGTGCTGGCCCCTTTCAGAGACTGGATTCAACACTGGGTGAACCATTGGCCTGATGTCCTATGACAATTCTTATAGGGCAGGAGACATTGATAGAGCATCCTACGGAGTTCAAAATATTCAATGAGCTATTAATGGTTAGTGATGTTTGCATAGAAGATAAAAGGCTAAAATAGATGTAGAGGTATATAAGTTACATGTCTGTACCAACCCACTCTTTTCCTGAGACTATAGTTCTAGATGTTACATTCCACAAATCTAATACAAGTAAAATAGACCAATTAACACTTTTTTATATTAATGTACTTTAATTTTCATGTTCGGAAAAATACTTTACCAAAAATACTTTACCCCAAAAAAAAAAAAAAAAAAAAAAAAAAAAA